ATCACAACTCTTTGTTTCTAATAATATGGTGGCAGCTCTGTAATTTAAAATATACAGCTTATTAATTACTATAATAAAAAACACAGTTTTAAATGTAAAAAAATATTTATTTCAATTTTATATACAAAAAAGTCAAAACAGCTGAACAATTTTTTTTGTGAATATTTAAAGGCAAGTATTTCTAACCTCACTTTACAAAAACAAGTGCTTTTAAAACTGTAATCGTGTTTTTGATTTTACTTATTCTTTTCAACTGACTAGTGGCTAATCCTGTGGTTTTAAATAATTAAAATAACAGAGCTTAACAGCCACAGTAGATTACAATGAAACTTTTGACCAGAGTGTTAAAAGATTAGTCTGAGAAACCAATGCTACTTCCTCCTCATTTACATCTAATTATTACCCACTCAGAACAATATGCAAACTGTATGCAGTTTTTTGATAGCTATTTTTAGTGAGCATAGAAAAATCAGCTAAGAGTGTCTGCTATTTTATTCTATGGCTACTGAATATATAGAGAAGCAACCAAGACGAAGAACACAACAAAAATAAGCATTCCTTATGTACTAAGTGTCTTAGAATCTGCCAGAAGACTTTGCATAATATTAACAGTGTTCTTGCACTACCTGAATGAGTCTATCCACATTGCAGCTGTGTATTTCGGCTCTCAGAACCTTGAGCCACATATCTGGCGTAAAAATATTGTGCTGCTTCTTGGCATAAAAATCAACAATAGTATAAGAAGGATGGTGAAAGTGAGAATGGCACAGGAGAGAAAGAACAGCTTGTGCATTTTTCATCAAACAAAAGCTTAGTTACAACCAGAAGGTGTACTCTTTATTTAAAGAACATAGTAAAAAAATTAGCTTCAGGATTTTTTTCTGTATGGAAAATAAAGGACTATGTTTTTACATTCAAACTATAACTCCATAGGCAAATAGACTTCATAAAGCACAGACTGGTGATCACATGTACCTCAAAAGAAACCAGTGAATTGCTCATCCTAATGCTCTACTAAATTAGTGCTGAAGTGATTCCAACATGTCCTGGTTTCGGCTGGAATAAAGTTAATTTTCTTCTTAGTAGCTGGTACAGTGCTGTGTTTTGGATTTAGGATGAGAAGAATGTTGATAACACACTGATGTTTTCAGTTGTTGCTAAATAGTGTTTAGACTAAGTCAAGGATTTTTCAGCTTCTCATGCCCAGCCAGCAAGAAGGCTGGAGGGGCACAAGAAGTTGGGAGGGGACACAGCCAGGACAGCTGACCCAAACCAGCCAAAGGGGTATTCCATACCATATTACGACACGCCCAGTATATAAACTGGGGGGAGTTGGCCAGGGGGCACCACAGCTCGGGGATCGGCTGGGCATCGGTCAGCAGGTGGTGAGCAACTGTTTTGTGCATCACTTGTTATGGATATTCTATTATTATTTTCCCTTCCTTTTCTGTCCTATTAAACTGTCTTTATCTCAACCCACGAGTTTTACTCCCGCCCCCCGCCCCGATTCTCTCCCCCATCCCACTGGGGAGGCAGGGGGGAGTGAGCAAGCAGCTGCATGGTACTTAGTTGCTGGCTGGGGTTAAACCACAGCACAACAGTTCTGTGCCAGAGGCCAATCATCAAATTGTTCTTGTGCAATCACAGCTCTTCAGGACTGAAAACAGTTACAGATGAGTGTCCCCAATTTCAGAAGAATTTCTGCTATTATGAGGAAAAAAAAGCCTGTGCAATGAGTAATTTTGGAGTGATACTAGAACAAAAAACCTTCAGGTTCATTAGTTAACATTACTGAATAGGCAGATATGCCAGAAGCCAGACAGGCACTGTGTGACAAGCAGTGAGTGTAGCATCTGTCCTAAGTGACAACTGACCTCACTGGTCTCTTTCTGGAAAAGAAAGAATTCAAGGTAGCCTATATTTAGGCAAGATCTCCACAAGTCTGTGTGGTGGGTTGACCCGGCTGGAGGCCAGTGCCCACCAAAACCACTCTATCACTCCCCCCCTCCTCAGCTGGACAGGGGAGAGAAAATGTAACAAAGGGCTCGTGGGTCAAGATAAGGACAGGAGAGATCACTCACCAATTACCATCATGGGCAAAACAGACTCAGCTTGGGGAAAAATTAATTTAATTTATTACCAATCAAACCACAGTAGGATAAGAATGAGAAATAAAACCAAATCTTAACACACCTTTCCCCCACCCCTCCCTTCTTCCTGGCACAGCTTCACTGCCAGATTCTCTACCTACACCCACCGAGGCAGCGCAGGGGGATTGGGAATAGGGGTTACGATCAGTTCATCACA